ATTAATCCTGAAAATCTATCCCCCTGGGGATACCTCTTCTGCAAGGACTTCTATGTATGAGATGATGAACGGCTTTCTTTCTTTATCCCTTCACAAAAGGAGAAAATATATCCCTTGTGTCCCCTTTGAGCCTGAATGATATTTTCTTTTGATTCAACCCTAACCAAGGATCACCCTCCACACTGGGGGGCAATGTGAAGGAAATCTGAGTGAAGAAAATTGATCCAAATGAGATACCGAAAGGTGAACCAAATACATAGTGCAAAGATCATATTAAAGCGAAGAAAAAAGAAGAGCAAAGAGCAAAGAGAAAAATCAAAGCAAAAATCAAAGAAAAAAAGAGAAAGTGGACAAAGAGCACATACAAAGAGTCTCTCGACTCAAATGGCACATCAAGTTTCAAACTATGAGATTGATCCAGAATTAGTTCACCAGAAGATCATAGAACATCAAGAGAAAGATATGCGAGTAGATTCAAATTGAGCAAAACAAGATCGAAGGCATCAGAGTTAATTGATCCTTGGTTCAAATACCCTTAAAACACATGTTTGGGCCTTTTATCCCTTTCTTTCATAACCCTGAACCATGACCTACATTACGTGCCTTACAAGTCCCTTCTAATCATACATGGATTTCTAAGCGGAAGAGACTATCCTCATATTTCATCTCGCCTATCAGGATTAATATTTTACTTATAAAGGTTTTCTAAAATCTTTAATGCATAATAGAGAAAAATAACTAAGGGGGGTTCAAGACGTAAAATTCTGAGTAACGTCTTGAAACCAAAGGAGGATTCGAGTTGAAAACCTGAAAGGGCGGCTCGAATATGAAGATTATTACATAGGAGACGATTGCTCAAATCCCTTGATGAGGCATCACACAACATGAATGAGAACATGAGAGTTGGGAGTCAGAGAACACTTCCAATAACTGAGTACAGAAGCTACTCCATCAGATCAGAGAACATCAAATAAATGAGAACACTATACTTTTGACCAAAAATAACCACTTGAGACTTTTTTATCCTTCCTTACTTAACCATCTCTCAAAGATAGCATTGATCTTGACACTTGTCAAATAGCTATAATTTATTGAAGGATTACAATTGTAATTAATTCTTTGATATCCAATGAACTCTTGTTCTATGATTTGTCAATTGTGAAACCTTAAAAGGGGCAATATTTTCAAAACTTTTGATTAAACATTTTTCAAAACTATGGATATTTTCAGACTTTTGAAAATAAAAGAAGAAGAAAAACATTTTCAAACAAGATAATCTCTCTGGAGGCGTATTTTGGAATTCAAAAAAATATCTATCTGAAGCTCAAGATCGAAGCTGGGGCAAGAGAAGCTAAATTTTAGGGCAAACTTTGATGGAATAAACAAATGGTCTCAGGTCAAGGTTTGTAAGAGTACACATTGGTGGAAATACAAACAAACTGAATCAATGATAGAGTGAAGACTGCTTTTGCAACTATTCTCCTTCCGGATCGAGAAAAACATACATATATACATACGTATATACACATACATACATAATACATAAAATTTGCATCAAACATTTATCATCATATATATTAAAGACATTTTTCTCCTCACTTGAGGACAAATTGGACAAAAAATCAAATAAATTTCATCTTGACATCCATCATAACATCCAATATAGTCAGTCAAAAATGCATCATTTTGATCTCTCAGGAAATCAAAGCTCGGAAATGACCAGATGTCTAACTTGCAGAAACAATGATTTGGGCTTACTGAAGTCAACAATCAAGACATTTCCTCAACGTGCATGAACAAACAGACTTTTTATCGCCTTTGAGGGTGTTTTTCTTGAAACAAAATTTTTGTCTCACTTGAGATATTTTTCCACAAATTTTGAGAATTTTAAAACAAATTGCGTCTCGCTTGAGACATTTTTCCTTTGAGATACAAATTTTGAATTTGATTCACTAAAAACAAAAGTAATCTCACCTTAGATTCTTGTTTCTTTCAAAACAAATTTCGTCTCGCTTGAGACCTTTTCCCTTTGAGATCAAAATTTCGAATTTGTTTCACATTAAACAAAGTTGATCTCACTTGAGATCGTTTTCTCAAAAACAAACTTTGTCTCGCTTGAGACAATTGCTCTAAAAACAAATTTTGTCTCATTTGAGACTATATCTTAAAGCAAATTTCGTCTCGCTTGAGACATCATTTTCTCTCATAATACAAATTTCAAGGTTGTTGTACTTCAAGCAAAATTAATATCACTTGAGATTTTCAAAGCTGATTTGTCTCGCACGAGACATTTCCCCTCTTAAATCCTGAAATTGTTTCATTTGAAACAAAATAAACACTTTTGAAAACACCTTTGAGATTATTTCCATATAAACAAAATCGACAATATTTGAATCTTTTAAAACGATTTTTTTTGTCTCTCTTGAGACAGTTTCTCTTGAAAAAAATCTTTGAGTTTGTTTCTCTTAAAAAAATCTTTGAGTTAGTTTCTCTTGAAAAAAATCTTTGAGTTTGTTTCTCTTGAAAAAATCTTTGAGTTTGTTCCTCTTAAAAAAAAAATCTTGGAGTTTGTTCCTTTTGAAAAAAAATCTTTGAGTTGTTTCGTTTGAAAAAAAATCTTTGTGTCCATTTATTTTGAAACAAAGTTTTGTCTCTCTTGAGACAATTTCGTGAAAAATCTTTGAGTCTGAAACAAAGTTTTGTCTCTCTTGAGACAATTTTGTGAAAAAAAAAATCTTAAGATAATTTCTTTTGAAACAAAAGTCTTTGAGTTTGTTTCTTTGGAAACAAAATTTTGTCTCTCTTAAAGACAATTTCTTTTGAAAAAATCTTTGAGTTTGTTTCCTTTGAAACAAAATTTTGTCTCTCGAGACAACTTCTTTTGAAAAAAAAAACAAAAAAAAAAAACCAAAAAAAACACCTTTGAGATCGTTTCTATTAAAACAAATTCTATCTCACATGAGACAGTTTCCTTTCAATGTCCTATTTGAGTCGTTTCCTTTGAAACGAATTTTGTCTCTTAAAACATTTTCTCTTAAAACAAGATCATCTTTGAGTTTGTTTCTCTGGAAACAAGGTTTTATCCCTTAAAACAGTTTCTTTTGAAGAAAAATCTGAGTCTGTTTCTTTGGAAACAAAATTTTGTCTCACTAAGATACAATTTTATGAAAACCAAAGTTTTGTCTCTTATGACAATGTTTTTTTTAAAAAAAAAAATCATTGAATCTCTTCCTTTGGAAACGAAATTTTGTTTCTCTCGAGACAATTTCTTTTGAGAAAAACCTTTGAGTTTATTTCTTTGGAAACAAAATTTATCATCTTTGAATCTGTTTCCCTTGAAACAAACAAACATCTTTGAGATCGTTTCCCTTGAAATGAATTTTGTCTCATTTGAGACGGTTTCCCATGAAAAACCAATCTTTGAGAATGTTTCCCTTAAAAACAAATTTTGTCTCGCTTGAGACAATTCCCTTTAAACGTAATCTTTTGAGTTGTTTCATTTGAAATGAATTTTGTCTCTTTCGAGACAGTTGCTTTTGAAACACATTATCTTTGAGCTTGTTTTTCTTGAAACAAATCTTTAATTTGGTTTCTCTTGAAACCATAACTCCTAAAGATGGCCATCCGTCCTCATCATGTAGGAACCGTGTCATCCCCAGACCAGATCTCCTCATCACGTAGGAGCCGTGTCAACCATAGATAACCAGCTGTCCTCATCACGTAGGAACCGTGTTATCACCTTTAGATGGCCAGAACTCTTCATCACGTATGAGCCGTGTCATTCCCAGACCAGATCTCCTTATCACGTAGGAGCCGTGTCACCCTTAGATAACCAGCCGTCCTCATCACGTAGGAACTGTGTTATCACCTTTAGATGGCCAAGAACTCTTCATCACGTAGGAGCCGTGTCATCAGCTGACCAGATCTCCTCATCACGTAGGAGCCGTGTCACCCTTAGATAACCAGCCGTCCTCATCACGTAGGAACTGTGTTATCACCTTTAGATGGCCAAGAACTCTTCATCATGTATGAGCAGTGTCATCCCTTGACCAGATTTCCTTATCATGTAGGAACCTTGTCGCCTTTAGACGACCCGAACTCTTCATCACGTATGAGCAGTGTCGTCCCCAACAACCAACATTATCCAATTTATAGGAAAAAGGGAGAGAACCTGACAAAAACGTGATGTCTTGTCGTCTTTGCCCTATTCTTGTTAACACCAGAATGTGCAAAGAGGGGCAGCTGTAGACACCCGTTTTTGTCCGGGTCTTTTTTATTATTATTTATATATATTTATTATTATTTATTATTATTATTATTATTATGTTTATTAATTACATATTACAACATTTTGTGCAGGCCATCCACTTAAGCCCAACTACAATCAAAACCCAGACCCGGTCCAACAACCCAGTAGATGACCGAACCGGCCCACTTGACAACCCAGCTAGGGTTTCATCTCAATGTTCCAGCCGCCTCATTTCTGGCCATTGGATCTGGACCCATCCAACGGTCCAGATCACGTAGAGCTTAGGGTTTGAAACCCTAAAATATCATCAGCTCAGCCGTTTGGCCTTCCAGCTCCAGCCGCCGCTTGACTCTTCAACTTCCCAGCCGAGCCTCACCCCCGACAGCCTCTGACGCCGGCCACCTACCGAACAGTGATAGATGACCATCAAACAGAGATTAGAATCATATCATTCAGTCAGACAATCCAAGAAAAATAATGAAATCTCCTAGAAGCATAGGAAATCATTTCCTATTAGATCTATCAGACACCAAACGCATGCAAAGATAAAAACAGAAGGCAATGGGGATTTGAGGGGGGGATTTTTTTTAGAGAACGGAGACAGAGAGGATTCGAAACCACAAAACAAAAAAAGAAAATAGAGAGAGGTGTCTCACCGTGGTTCAAAGCCGTGGAATCCCGAGGGCCGCCATATGCTCGGTTTCTTTCGAAGGTAACATATTAGATTTAGCGGTTTAGGATTATTTTTAGGCTAAAAGGGTTCGAGTTTTGAAGTGGGGAGGAAGAGAGGAAGCTTTTGAGTGTTTTTCCCTCTCTTCGGCCGAGCGCCGCCGGGTCTCCACCGTGGTTGTTGCCGTCCAGGATTATCCCTTTCGTCCCCGATGAGGGAACTTGAGAGAGTCCTCTGGTTTTGGAGACATGAAACAAATGAGAAGGCTGATGAAAAATAAGCCTTGGATTTGGTATGAATACCCAAGTCAAAACGCAGTCGTTTTGCCTCCCCAACCCCATCTGTGTTTTTGATTTATTGGAATAACTACACTTTTAATCCCTGTGGCTTTGTAAACTTACGCATGTTTCTTCAAGGTTTGGGGGGTAAATCATAGTTTAGGTCCCTCCTGGTTTGTAACATCTCGTTGTAGCCATTAATGAAATCTCATAATATTTTATTTTGGGCATTTATATTTTCCTTTTTATATTTTAGTCCTATTTATATTAGTATTTTGTATGTTTAAATATTTAGATTTTAGCTGTTAATCTTGTGTATTATTCATTTTGGTCATCATATTATGTTTCTATTTGTTTCATTTTTGATATAATATTTGCTCACATTTCGTTTTAATCACTATTTGTTCACTAATATGTTTAGGGTAAATAATTTGTTTTGAGCCCTAATTTGTGAATGAGCTCATCCTAGTCCCTATTTGGTTATTGATGTCTTTGATGATTTTTGATTTCGTAAGGTAGTTTTGTTAACTTTCTTTTTAGTCCCTAGTTGTTGGCATATTGCTTTTATTTTTATTTTATTTTAATTTGACCACTAATTTATGATACTTTCATTTTGGTCACTAGATTTATGGTTAATCACGATTTAGATACCTATCTTTACCATGTTGTTCATTATAGTCACCAGGAGGTTCATGTTATTTGTTTATTCTGATATTGACATTATGTTTTATTGTGTTTCAATTTGGTCACTATGTATACTATTTTGCTTATTATGAATTCAACTACTGATTTTATTCTTTTTCATTTTAGCCACTGATTGATCATGTTTTTTTATTTATTTTTAATTCTGCTTGTATATTTCGATTTATGCATTTTAGTTACTTGTCTATAAAGTTTATTTATTTTATGTTATTTGTATGTCATATTTTCATGTATATATTTTAACCTATTCTATAATATTTATGTACATATATCATGTTTCAAATATATTAATTTATTTTATTTTATTTCATACGCATGTTGTATCATATACATTTATATACTTATTAATTTAATTTAATTTTTCCCTTTGTATATTCATGTATGAAAATATATTATTAATGTTTATTCCATTTTATTCAATGTGATTACATATGACTAATTTTTCAAGAACGCGAATTTGTAGAACGGGCGTGGAAAGTACTACTTGATCGAAGTGGTACAATCCAATACGACATTCGAACAAATACGAACTTAAAATAAATCCATTTTCTTTTACTAATTAATTTATTTTAATGATGCTATGTGTGTGTTTTTAATTTACTCTTTATTTCCTTTTATTCGAATGCAAATGTTAATTTTATTTATATTCGATTCGCATATTTATCAATGAGAGAATATTTTTTTATTGACAAGAAATAGTCGAGTTAGTTTTTCCGATGGAGGATTACTAATTTTGATATTTCTTTTCGAGTTAAAGAATTTTCTGTAAATAATTTATTCGAAGTAAATTAATTAAATTTCAATAAATGGATCACATTTTAATTATCGATGCGATTTATAGTTTCCACCATCACGACGATATGTAAGCGACACAGTACCAATTTTTGGGCGTTGTGGGGTGTTAGTCCTTCCCTACACGTAATAGACTCCCGAACCTGTTTAAATAAATCTTTGGTAAACACAGACCAGTTTTTATCTTAAAAACGATTTTTTCTTAAAGTTGTTTTTAAAATACGTTTTTAGGTATTCGACCTATCTAACCCAAAGGCCGATGGCGACTCCCTTTCGATTTAATTCAAATTAATTCCAAATCACCAATTTTTCCAAATTAAAGTCATAATCGTTTTTTAAAATAATATTTAATTGTTTTTTTGAAAAATGGTTATGACAATAAGTTTTATCTAGTTCTGGGACAATAAGCGTGACATTTAGGTATCTGGCAATGACAACCATGTCGCAAATCTGCAAATTGAACCCGATAACGACATGAAATGGTTAGCATCTGAATTGATGCCGAGATTAAAAAAAGGAGTATCAACTTACTGCAGCTCGCATTTGATTAAGTCCTCCATTGCAGGAAACCATAAGATAACCATTGTTCTTATATAACCCTGCAAAAAAAAACAGTCATCAGATAAGAACAGTAATCATAGACAAGTTGATTGGGAAAAAGATAAAGCCACATAAAAGCAAAAGATTCACAGGTAAATCAACATATGAAAGGGGGGGGGGGGAGATTAAAAAAAGAAAAGTCCTTTTTAAGGACTCAAAAGGCAACTTTTGACGAGAATTGCCTGTGCACAAGAAAAGAAAATCTTACAGAGAAACACCAAATATATACCAATATGAAAATTGTTGAAATCAATGATGGCATACTCAAGAACTTACAAAATAAATGATATCAGATGGGGAAATGGGATTTCTGCATTTACATAGAAATGAACATTGAAACAAAGAAACCTTTGAGAACTTACTTTTTGGAGGAAGAATGAGTTTTGGTGGAATAGAAGACAATTCAGAACCAGGTTGAGTGAAACAAAAAGGCCAACCTTTCAACAATCTTAGACCAAACATTTCTCCCAATGTCATCAACTGAGCAAAGCAAGTCCATAACAAAATTGAAGTTAATGCCCTTAACATCCATAACTTCATTCTAGGCCTTGAAACCATTGAATTCTTCAACTTATGCACTCTCCCAAAAATCTTTATCTTTATTTCCCACTGTTTCTTGTAATCACACTTTCCAGTTGTTTCTTCTACTCTACACATTGTAAATTACCCCTTTTCACCTCAATCTCAAACTCAACAACAATACTTGAGTTCAAAGTTCTCCCCCACTTGATCCAAAATTTCAGGCCTTTAATCAAATAAAATGCAAAAAAAAAAAACCCTCCTTGAACCACTAAACATCCCTTGTAACTACATTACAAAATAAGACTAAGATTCTTTGGAACACCTACACTATTATTTCACCTAGAAACAACAGCTCCACCTAGCTTATCAAAAGCAAAACTTAAGAAAGGAAAAATAACCCAAAATTTAAACACTACACTTTGTTTAGCTAAAACCTTGTAAACTCTCCACATAACTTAAACAAGCAAGACCCAGAATTCATATGATTCGGTTTCAACTAAACCTCCAAAAGAAACAATTAGCTAAAAAAGGAAAACAATTAGCTACAAATATTAAACAACAATGTATTGTAAGATTTTCATTACTTTTATTTTCCTAATTTTATTTTATTTAGAAACTAATATGCTTTATCTGATTGCTCTGTTTTGTTTTATACTTTTTCTTATTGTTTTTAGTTTTTTTCCTTTTACAATTACTAAACAATCAGTCTATTTTATTTTTTTTATAGAAATTTTGTTATTACATTATATTCTTATAAACTTTTAAAATTAAAGTCAAAATCTTTTGATTGAATTGACGAGTTTGACTAATTTCAAACTTTAGAATTAAAACAATAAAGCATAGGTAGATTAATATTATATTTGACTTAAAAATGGCGCACGGTTGTGAAACTCTCTCGGCGCACATTAGCTGGACTAATGGGATATGATGATTTCACTGTTTTCCGGCGTCGTTTTCGTTTTCCCTTCAGTCATCTCTCCCTTATCTTCTGTCCTCCCTTTCTGTTTGTTTGTTGAATGGATTGGCGTAAACTGTTTCAATGTTCTTCAAATCACCAGCTTCAGTACTTTCCCCCTAACGAGAGAAATGTAATCTCGTTAGTTCACCCACTGCCTGAAGTATTCGAGGGCGGAATTTCTGAGTGGAAGTACTCTCTTGTGGGGCAATTTCTGGGATCCGCTCCAAATTTCTCTTCGATTCAAAGGATTATTGATGGCTTATGGAAGAATCCCCTGAAAGGTTCCAATATCCAGGTCAGTTACGCTGGTCCCAACCTCTACTTGTTTTCCTTTGAATCTGATACTGCTCGTGATTGGGTTATGGAGAACGGGCATTGTCACTTTTATAATAAACCTTTAACCTTGAGAAAATGGGAACCTAATATGCAAAAAATTCACTTTGATTTATACAGAATCCCGATTTGGGTTCACTTGTTCAACGTTCCTTTAGAACTGTTTTCTAATGAAGGATTGAGTTACATTGCTAGTGCAATAGGCTATCCTCTGTCTATGGACTCTATCATTGCTTCTAAGACTATATTGGAATATGCTAAGGTCTGTGTTGAAATATGTGTTTCTGAAGTTATTCCTAAATCGATTGATGTTGTGCTTAACAATGGACTGCATTCTACTGTTTCTGTCGAAATCCCTTGGCTTCCACCAATCTGTAAATCTTGCAACACTTTTGGCCATAACACTAAAAGTTGTAAGGTTAACCCTTCTCCCTCTCTTACTGGTCAAGTTTGGAGGAAAAAGGATCCCTTAGCCTCCACGTCGCAGGCCCCAGTTAACACATGTATTGATACCTCAAAGAACACTACAAATGATAGTTCTCAGGTATCATCTCCTAAGGATTCTGGAACTGGAATTGGAAATGTATCTCCTCAGGGTTCCGAAAATGATAGTGCTCAGGTTTCCTCTCTTAAGGACTCTGGAACTGGAACTGGAACTGGAACTGGAACTGAAACTCCTCATGGTTCTGAACCCTCTCATCCTGATAAAGCTAACCTTTCCGAGAGTGCTTATATCTTATCTCCAAATTGCCCTCTTCCAGAACCTGAACTAGAATCTGCTGATCTTAATCCTTCAGAGATAGCAATTTGTGAACAAAAGTCATCATCCCCTTTTAAAAGGGGTCGGGGTAGACCTCCTAAGTCTAAAACCAAAAATTCTTTAGCAGGTTCTTCGAATAGATTTGAGATCTTAAAATCTTTTGAAGAGGCTCAACCCGAGCTTGAGATTCAGGGGAAAAAACCAAGAGCTGCAACTTCAGGGGTTGCAGAACTGATCAAAGATATAAAAGCTAAAAAGAAATCACACCTTGAGAAAGCTAAAAGTGCTCCAGTAGGAAGTAAAAGGGGGGATTTTGTCTCATCTCCTCAATCTACATGATTATTTCATTTCAGAACGTAAGAGGATTAAACAATCCTCTTAAACAATGTAAGGTCCTTAGGAGAGCCTCTCTCAATAACATTGATATTCTGTGCTTATTGGAAACTCGTGTTAAAATGGACAATTCTGTTGTTATTCTTGCTTCCAGATTTGATAGTTGGAATTTCTTAGGCAACTATGATTATGTTGCTAATGGTAGAATTTGGTTACTTTGGAGGAAGGGCCTTGACTTATCTGTTTGTCACATTTCTGACCAAAGTATCACCGTTAAATGCTTCTTCAAGAACGTTCATTTTCTGCTTATTGGGATCTATGGCCACAATGATGACATTACTAGACGTAGCCTTTGGCAGGACCTTAGACTTATTGATTCCAGATTTCCTTACTTCCCTTGGATCTTGGGAGGTGACTATAATGTCACTATGCACCCTAATGAAACTTCTAACTTTGAGCTTCTGGTCCTTTTACTTCCTCTGACATGATCGACCTCCAAGAACTTTCCCAAGATCTTCAACTTCAAGATCATCCGTATTTTGGCCCTACTTTCTCTTGGAGCAACAAACAAAGAGAAAAATTTCTTGCTAAAAAACTCGACAGAGTGCTCATTAACTCCTAGTGGTTTGAATCTTTTTCAAACTCATTTGTGGAATTCCATGCCCCAGGACCTTCTGACCATTGTATGGCTATAGTCTCCCTCAACAAAGAAATCCAAATGAACAAACCTAAGCCTTTCAAATTCTTCAATTGTTGGACCCTTAACCAAAGATTTTTAGACACTGTTAGGCATTATTGGCACCAACCTTGTTTTGGAAATCTTATGAAGAGGCTTTTCCTCAAGCTTAAAAGGCTTAAAGTCTGCCTGAGAAATTTTAACAAGGATTTCTTTAGTGACATCTCTGCTTGAGTAAAAATTAAAAGGGAAGAGATTGAGAAACAACATATTATTTCTCTTAAAGGTATAGAGCCTATAGAAAAAGAACTCGATCTGCAATGGGAGCTTAATTCTCTTGAGGAAGCCGAGTCAATGTTTCTTCAATAAAAAGCTAAATCTCATTGGTTAAAAGAGGGGGACAAGTGTTCCAAATTCTTTTATTCTGTCATAGCTACTAAGAACAAACGTGATACTATAAGAGTCTCAGTGGATGACCAAGGCAGAAGGTTGGAATCTTTTGTTGAAATGTCCTCTGAAGCTATCAATTTCTTCACTAAACTATTGGGTTCCTCTGACCCAGAAGTTAAAGTTTATTTTGTTCCTCTTCTTAAAGGTCTGCTCCATCCTCTTCCTTCCCCTGACCATTTCGAGGGGCTCACTAAGGATGTCTCCACTGAGGAAATTAAAGAAGCTCTTTTCGATCAGGGCAATGATAAAGCTCCCGGTCCTGACGGTTATACTCCTCTATTCTTTAAGAAATCTTGGACTATTATTAAAGAAGATGTGATTGAAGCCATTAATTATTTCTTTCAAGAATCATACATCTTCCCTGGTTTCAATGCTACAACTATAGCTCTTTTTCCTAAAATCTCAAACCCTTGCAAAGTCTCGGATTTCCGCCCTATTTCCTGTTGTTCTGTTATATACAAGACCATTACTAAAATCATTGTGAAGAGGATTTCCCATTTAATGCCTATGCTTATTACTCCTAATCAAACTGCTTTTGTCAAAAAGAGGAGTATTGTTGATAACATTCTCCTAGCTCAAGAAATTGTGAAAGGCTATGGGAGAAAGAATATTTATCCTCAGTGTGCTCTTAAAATTGACCTTCAAAAAGATTTCGATTCTATTCACTGGGCCTTCATTCCTATCATCCTCAATGCCTTAGAGATGCCAAGTATACTCATTGAATGGACTTCTGCCTGCTACGCTAATGCCTCCTACTCCATTGCATTTAATGGAAGTTTGGTTGGTTATTTCAAAGGAGCTAAGGGTCTTAGACAGGGAGACCCTTTATCTCCTCTGTTGTTTGTTTTGGTCATGAATGTGTTATCCAATCTCCTTTTCAGCGTTGCTAATTACTGGTGTAGACAACTTGTTCTACCTCAATCCATTATCAACAAAATTGAGCAAGTGTGTTCTAAATATTTTTGGAAAGGATCGGATATTCCAGCTACTGGTGCTCGGGTTAGTTGGGACACGATCTACACTCCAAAGTCTGAAGGAGGTTTAGGCCTTAAAGACATTAAAACCTGGAATAGAGTGTGCTTGATCCACCTTATCAAAAAAATCCTTGTCGGGGATGGGTCGCATGGATTCAATGTTATATTATAAAGCATTCTAACTTTTGGTTCATGGAAGAATGTTCTTCTTGCAGCTGGAGTCTCAGGAAAATTTTGAAGCTTCGAAGTGTAGCTTATCCTCTTCTAATTTCAGGAGTTACTAGTTCTAAAAATATTTGGAGCAGGTTCGTATGAAAGGAAGTAGAGTTCATTGGCAGAAAATCACCTGGTTTTCCCTCCACATTCCAAAGCACAACCTCATCTCGTGGATGGTTATTATGGATCGTCTCCCCACCAAAGAAAGGCTGCTCAGGTTCGACTTAATCACTAATGATCGGTGCATCTTTTGCTCTGAAGGTAGTGAAACTAGAAACCATCTTTTTGCTGAATGCAAAGTTTCTTCTTTAATCTGGAAATCCATTCTTCTGCTATCAGGCATCAAAAAACATCCATTCTTTTGGTCCAGTCTTATGGTTTGGGCGACAGCGAAATGGAAGGGAAAATCTTTAATTACTGTCATTCTTAAACTATTGTGGTGTGCATTCATTTACACCATTTGGGAAGAAAGGAATCATAGGACTTTCAGAGGCATTAGCATATCAGAGGATGATATAGTTCAATCTATTAAGCAGACTATAGGTCTTTATCTAAGCAATAGAACTATCAATAGATTAGATAACACTAATTTATTTCTTTGTAATTAATGGGGTATAGTTTGATTTTTGTTGTATAGGTTCCCCTTATTTTGTTCCTTTCATTGGATTGTTTTGTGTAGCAGGTTTCTGCTTTCTTAAATAATAAAACTTACTTATCCAAAAAAAAAACATAGGTTGGAACTCACCATCTGAGTTGAGGAGTTTTAAGATGTGTACTAAACTCGGTGTAAAAGTAATAATCTTCCCAAATAATTTTGACTCGATCATAAATAGATAATAAAAAGAAACTTAGACTTATACTTTATATATGAAAAGAATATGTCGTTGAAGTCATAGTTTAAGGGACATACATAAAGTTTTATATTAGGGGACAAACTTCTAAAATTTTAAAACAAGATGAACATCAAAGAGGGGTTAAAGAGGTTAGTGCACACAGATGTTGATTTAAAATTTTAATCTAATTAGATTGAAAAATAAAAGAAAAAAATCAAATAGAAAAAATACAATAGCTACATTTTATTTGTTCACTAAAAGATTCCTTTTTCCTTCATTAAAAAATATAGTTTTTAATATATTTTTTGTTAACATCAATGATTAAAAAATAAACATCAATAGTGACTCAACTAAAGATTTATCATTTTCAGTGTTTTTTTTAAAATTATTTTATTAATGAGTAATACAATAGAATAATCATAAATCATTATTCAAAGTTTTAATTTAGTAGAAAAAGAAGGGTTGGCGGCCCAAACTCCTCTAAAGTAATGAGATAAAATCCACCAGAAACAGAGACAATAACACAAGATATGTATAGTCTTCTCGGTCCCAGGTACAATATACATAAATAATATTTATATTTTAATATTATACTTATTATTTGTGGTGGATTTTGAATAAATACAAATATTTATTTCTGGAGATTTAAAAAAATTTATGCATGTCCTTGTGAAAAACCATCCAAATTTGGGGGAAAATAATTCTAAATTAGAATATTCAATGTATAAAGCATTTTTCTTACTAGTGACCCGACCTCACCTCGCCCTGACGACCAAAACCCCTATGAAATCGTGACTGATCAATCGTCGATCGACGACGAATTGACTTTTTATACCCTGCAAACTTTAGGATGAAAATCGCAATCCCACGTGATTCCGACGACTAATCAGCGACAAATATGACAACATATAACTATGATGATGGCAGAGATTACGTCGACAGCGATGGTCATGGCCGAAAAGGGAGGCGGCGGCGGGTTAGTGCTAGGATTTTAGGATTTTAGGGATTTTGAGGCTTTTTTTTATAATTTAAAAGAAATTAGTTTTTTTAAAATATAATAATTTTTAATTTAAAAAAAATAAATTTCAAAATTACCAGATTGTGAGACATGTTAATTAACGAAAAAAACTAATGGTTGTAACGTCGCGAGCACCTAAAGTAGTCATGTTTGTAACGTCCAGATTGTGACACATATTGTACCTTATTGAGTTATAATTATATATTTTTTACTTTATCAAATAATATTTTGATTACAAAAGTTAATATTTATTGAATCTGAAGCTTAGATATTAATACTGTCATTTATCATTTTCAAAATACAATAGATTCTATACCAACAAATAATTGATAGCTGAAATTATTAAAGATAATGGAATATTTGATTCACTGCCATCCGTATACAAAATTTAAAGATATTACATATTGTCGGTAGATTGTACGTTTAATTACCTACCTAATCATATAATATTGATTAACGATATAAAGAAAAAGGTTTCCTTAAATGAGAACAATGGTAAGTTCATTAGCTTGCAGTTCTCTTTAATGACAATTTACATGTATTCTTTTAGATAAAATACATTACAACGAATATTTATTAATACAAGTGCATACAAAGAAGGTAAAGAAAGGAGTAACCTGTATTCCTTTTCGAGCATAAAAATTATGCACGAATCGTGACCCCGGGTGCTTAATATTTATAATAGGTGAGCTCAATCCCTGAATATAATTCAATGTTTAAATGGTCCTTTTTTGGGTGCAGATTATTGTGCGACCCATGGAATTTTATCTTGTGATATTCGGAGTCCCAGCTGTCATCTTGAATATAGTTGATCAATTATACTCGACGGTTCAACCAAGAGAGATTTTGATCAATGCCGATGGTCCCCCATTATCTACCTAAAACCCAAGATTTAAATGACCAATATCTTGTATTTTGATTTTAATTAATTATTTTAAAATATATATAAATCTATTCTACTTTAAATGATATTCAAATGATTTTAAATCTTAAATATTAAAATTTATAGCAATGAACTCGTTTGTGAAATATTCTTTTCCACCATAGATTATGAGATAATATTTCAGTTTGATTTTTGCATTGAAGATTATAAAGTGGACTACGTAGAGACAGATGGCATAAAAGATTTTTAGATTCAAAAGACCAAGTTTTACAAGGCACTGTCGCATTATTTTACTTCCAAAACGTCAAATAGAAGAGGTAACCAAATACAAACCGACAAAGCGAGCCTCACATTTTTCCTGCAGCAATAGCGGCTTGTACGAAATCCTCACACCGCGTAAATCCGCCTGATAAAACATCTCCCAGGGCCCCGATGATGTCGAACGCCTCCTGCAAATCGCTTGCAGAATTCATGTCATCGAGCCATGAGAGTAACTCTTTGGAGAACCCTAGCATTTCCTTCACATTTAACAACCGCTCTTTCATTACCACCTCCCAGCCTTCCAACCCTTCGCCTTCAGTTCCGGTCGATGTTCCTTCGGCTTTGCCTTTGACGGTTGCCATACTTGATGATTTCTTCACCTTGAATATTTGCTGCAACTGCTCAATCAAGCCCGTATACACCAGCATGGGTCGAACAATCGACAATAGCTCATCACCACTAGATTCTGTGGAGGTGAGACTTTTGCTGATACTTGCTGGTTCAATCTTAGCCGTTGACCGACCGTGAGTATGCTGCATGTAGGCATGATATATTCCGCGTTGCAAAAAGTCACGTCGATGTTGCAGCCATGACTCGTACGGCTCCGAAAGCAGTGAATTTACCATCATGAACTGAACGGTTTCCTCAGTCCCACTGGTGGCGGATTTTGAATCTAATGATGAAGAGGATATATATGTTGCTATTGCCTTGGCCATGTTACGTCTCTGAGAGGGGCCTCCCTGTTCGAGAAGGTGACGAGCCATTTGGATCATGAAAGGCAAAAAACGGGAGTTGCTTTCCCTTCCACCACCCCTACACTCTGCACTGAATGATGCTCCTGTTGCAAATCGAGCTAGCATCTGTAGAGAAAATATGCAGATATATAAGGCCATCTACAAATGTAACATACAATAAAGTCGATAACAAGCTTACATGCAAGAGCATACCAGAACAATATCATAAGTCAACAGCCGGAGCCGACTTCCATCAGCACGACCAAGAGCATTGAGGTTATCCCAGTATTGATCGACACAGCGAACATACAGTGCTAGTGGAACTGATGGGCCTCTCACAGGAAATAAAGAATTGCAAAGCGATTCATTGTTTCTGAGAGTAGCACCCTCCCACTCTTTCTTTGGATTCCTCAAAGCAGCATCTGCTCTTTGGCCTCCTGATGGCACTGAAAATGAATAATATTGAAGTAACTAACAGTAGTGTAAACACACTCTCCACGTGCACTTCCTGACGTGCCAACACCCAGGTTTACTCGCTTGCTATAAGAGTAAACACCCAGCAAGTCAGTGGGTCTCAAACTATAGCCTTCTCGACACACCATACAAGCCAGCCCATCTTCCTCCTCCTCCACATCTTCCAAACCTTCCAGAAGAGGCCGAGAAACAACTATTCGCTCACCACCATCTGAAGCTAATTCTTGTCGCATTCCAAGTCCCTGTATAGTCACCAGGAGAACACGATACAAAGAGTTGGCTCAGCTAGTAAAAAGAAAAGAGAAGAACTGGTATGTGAATGCTTTGTATCTACAAGAATGGAGTAAGATTTATATTTTAAAGAAATACAACCATGCAATTGAAACCATTCCCGAATATAATTTCCAATATAAAAGAGATGGAGGTAAAAGGCTATGTAAAAAGACAACCCAGCTACAAAATTGCAACTCATTTGGAAAATTCCACTTTCCTGCAACATGTATGCAAGCTCATACAGAAGTAGAGGAATTCAAATTCAATGAAGAGTACCTGAAGCAACTCTTCCCTTTTCCTTAGAGCTCGCCGTCTCATTTCATCTCTGGTTGCATGCCGCAACTTTCGCACCTTCTCCTCCAAGAATCCATCTCCTTTGCTTTCCTTATCTGATAGTGTGTCCAACAAATTCTCAGCCTTCGCTCCAATCTCATTTTCTCCGGGCACACCTTCCAAAGCATGGACTAAGGGCAAAATTCCACTTTCATCAATGCATCTTTGAGTGGCAAAGTGCCCCATTGATAAGCCCCTTAGCATTGACAAAACAAGTGGGACAGATGGCAGTTTCAAAGCTAAAGCCCATTCTGAACTAGATTTAAAGCCAGCCTGTCCTGCAATTGCAAAACTCTCACTCAAATGTCTGACAGCTACACCCGTAATGCCCTTCTCTAGGATAATATCCTTCAATCTCTCCCCACAGGAACTTGTCTTTAGAGATTCTGAAACCATAACAAAATTTTCCACTGTGAATCTCTGCTTGGCTGCTTGCAGGGCGATGGTTTCATCTTTCGGATCGTCTTGATGCTGCTTCTGCAATCGGTCGAATTCTCCCCAGTCTTGCAAGTAGGGGTTAAAATGCTGGATAAGAGCTTCCATAGCATCAGGTTCACCATAAGTCAAGTAGGGTAATATTCTTGCGACCATCTCAGTGTTCCTCTGTTGTTTGTTTGATTTCTTATGACCAGGAGGATGAGACAGCCTCTCCAGGAACATAAGAACTATTTTCTTTGCTTGGTCTCCAGTGCCAGTTTCCTCACTGGTGACGGTAAGAACACTCTGTGAAATACTAATAGTGTCACTCTCATTTGCTTCAATTGTCAGACTCTCCACAATCAAAAGAATCCATTCAGCTGGCTCCATGGCATCCACGGTGAACGCACGCCTTGCTGTTTCAAGCAGTAGACCTAAAGCGCCAAGCCTTAATAAGGCCCTCCTGTTCTCTCTAATCTTGCAGCAGTGCATGAGGAGATTGAGAACAGCCACCAACTGCTCCTGATTGGACTTGAAGTCATCTCGCAAACGCTGTACATTCAGAGTACGAATAAGTTTCGACTTAAAGTTGTCCATTTATGAACCTCAAATTTCTATGCATGAGGTAAATAAAAAGTATGTGGAATCATTATCTATAACAAGGAAACGAATCCACACACCTGAATCATGCGCAACAAGGTTTCCAGCCCATCATACTCACGAACTGCACCAGCTATTGCAAATTCAACCTCAGGATCTTGTGATTCTTCTCTATCTTCCTCCAGTTCTTTTATCATAGGCTCAGTAGCTTCACCATCTAAACCCTGTGGAATCATTATGTAAATAAAACATAAATGCTAGATTACTTTTGGTCTCATAATAGCATATAAAGGCCATTTAGCATCAAATGTCATAAGCTCCACTCAAAATGGATTTTAAGTTCAAAACTGCAGAAAACAGAGGATAAGCATGATTTTAAGTTCAAAGAATACAATCCCAAAAAAGGATTAGCATATGCAAAAACCATTGCAAGGGATTGATGGGCGAGCATTCCCAAAAAATACATTCCTGCACAATTGAATCATGAAGTCCTTTATGAAAGACAAGGCATTGACTACAAAAAACAGTATCAAACCTGAAGTCGGTATGTCACAATCATGGGCGAGCATTCTCTACTTGATGTAACAGCACCAGAAGATAAAAGAGAAGAGTTAGACAGAGAATTTGAAGATTGACTGTTTGACTTCTTCCAGACTTGTTCATAAACCTGAGCAATGCTCAAATCAAGAGAAATTATATTCCCGGCTACTAAGAGTTCCATGCCATAGTCATCTTCAAGAAGACCTATGAGATCCAATTGATGGCAAATTTTATTTTTAACATCACGCATTAGCGGACCAATCTCAGCACTTGAATAAGGATTTTTAGTCATTGATCCTCTGATAAACTCTTCCTGTGTGTGAGCTTTGTTGAGAACCAACAAATAAGTGGCCTCCGGTTTTGATGGGCAGATCAAGTTGCAGAGTTGCTCTAAAATAAACTGCCATAAAATTCATACAATTGAAGTTAATTGCAACATTATATCATTAGTAAATTAGAAGTTGGCATTATTGAAACCCAAGAGAACATTACAAAGGAAAAAAGGGATAACCAAGTTCCCCATACCAGACAAGTTCTTCCTTTCTTCTCCTCGCCATGAATCTGCAGACCGCATATACAAGCACGGATAAATTGCCGTTTGTTCTCACTACTCTCGAGCAGCAGACTATCTAGAAGATCTTTTAGAAGTCGGTTGCAATCACTAATTAACTTAGTCTTCTGCACTATCAAACCACGAATTACAATAAGTGCCTCAAGGACTTCAGTCAGCAAATTGTCTTGCATGAACCTGTTGTCAAAACAAATTCAATTAGAAGATGAGGGAGCAATTTCATTATTAGTGAAAATAATTAGTAGTAATACCTGGATCTGATATTGGGAACCTCCAGAAATTTGCCAAGTAGCTCTATGAGCTTATGGAGGATGAATCCTTGCGAAATGTCAATATGCAAGCTCCTCTCAAGTGATTCAATATTCCCCACTTCTTTGGTAATCAACTTACAAATTGTATCTAGACACCCCCTTACTGTCAAGAATAGACGAGCATCTTCTGATTCAATCATCTTGAATAGCAACTCAAAATACTCTGCAGCACTTTCACCAGCAGCAAGAGTTGACGGTAACAGACCCATCAGTAGGTTTAGCAACCGAAATCGCCTTGATGGGCTTTGAGCACAAAGTAAACTAATTAGCATACACATCTCAGACCTAATAGACTGGGAGCAAGCACTCAAAACAAGTTCTGTAACCCATGATCCTAGCTCAAATACTGACAAGTCACCTTTGTTTGCTTTACAAGCAGATCGTTTCCACCTTAGTCCATATTTGAGGGCTAGGAAGTCAGTTCGATGTGGACGAGACCTCGGGCCCATACCTTTGACAGTTTGAGACACTTTATATTGCCTTCGGACAAAATCAAGATAAGATGCCCCCTTCTCCCACTCAGAATAACTTAGCAATTGAATATCTTGGGTCTTATGAGAAGCAACCCAATTTTTTTCCATAGGTTCTGGCATTAGCTTACTGGAACTGATACCACCACCATGAGATCCAAATATAGTTGAATTATTTTCATCCTTCTGTTGCATAACTGGATTAGATTTGCCAACACCTTGCTCCTTTTCTGCAGTATCAGGTTTTGGAGGAGTACAAGCCAAAGATATAATCCTTAGGCAAGGAAGAACTATATGCTCCGATATGGCAGGATGCTTCGCACCCAATTTTATGGAAGAAAATAACAGATGAAAAACAACACGCAATCTTGATTCCCAGAATTCATCAGCAAGGGAGCACACCTCTGAAAGCAATAACAATTCCTCACGAGAGGCAACAGCAATGTCCATGGAGCGATGATGTTCAAGACAGTACATGACTTTCTTCTGTATCAAACTGTTCAACTCAGATACTGCATTAACATCGCCTTCAGAGAAAGCACAAAGGGCTGCCCTAGTTTGTACGCGAGCAGTTTTTGGACCTTGGTGAATATTATTTTCAAACAACTCAGACAAGATGCCAGATGAGACAAGTTGCTTCTTAGAATTTTGATGTTTCGACAGAACCTGGAGGATCTCAAGACACTGTGTGACAAATGTCATTGCACAACCATAGCAATTATTTGGGGATCTGGAAATCACAAACCTTGATGCAACCCCAGAGTTATCTGAATGTTTCTGGTGTAAGTAATTCATTAGAACCCGACGAAGACCCTGCAGTGTCTGTACACTCTTACTGACAGAATCGAAAGCAGCTTTGCACTTCTCACCATAGAGGACACCTAGAAGAGCAATTTTGCGGTTTATCTTACATGAAGGACCAGGCAAGGAGACCATCATTTGCTGGACGGAGTCTTTCTGCTGCGAATCCATCTCATTTTCACCAATGCTTGACACAATCTTCAGAAGGGGCTTCTTAAAGCCCAGAAGTTGCTGATATCTCCTATGAGCATTTTCAGATTCAGCTTCTATAGCTGCCAGCCCTTTCTTCATGTCTTCATCATTCTCCATGTTGTCAAATGTAAAACTTGGCTTTGCCATGAAGTTGAACTCGAACCGACCATACTTGCTGTATCCACACTCATTGCATAGAAAAGAATCCAGATTTTCATAATTGATATTACGGCACTGCCTGCATTGATATGCATTTTCATGGCAGTTACTGCAAATTCCATGCTTATCAGTTACAGGTCGACTGCAACGGGGGCATTGCAATGGTTCAAGGGATAAGGCTTGAAGATTCTCATAGAAAGAATCAAGCTCAATCATGAAGTTACATGCAGTAATTGGAATGGGGAACTCCACTTTGAGCTCGCTCTGGTTGAAAGCAAGATGACAACTCTTTGCACGCTTCCATAATGACCAATTATTTTTCAGTTCTGACAAGTCAGCCACAGGTCGATTGTTGTAATACAGGTTCAGGACATTAACTGACTTGGACTTACGGGCATCATGAACATTCATAGTCACAGTCTGGATTGTATAACTTCCAGTGCACTTCACAATGATGCGGTTGTCAGTGAACTTGGTTTCAGATTTAAGACTTTCCAACTTCATTCTGCTAAATGGGACCTCAGGAGAGCTGCAGGCAACACATGGTTCACTCTCAAGATAATAACCATCAAATTCCACCAGACCACTCAAGGTGTTGTATATCCGAGAATTAGGATGATTAGCTATGAGTTCATTTTGCGAATGAAGTGCCTCAAATATACTCCTAATAACATCAGGGGTCAAGCAGTGGTCCACAATTTCAGTCTGTTGTTTCGAACTTTTATCAGGGAACTCACCGAGTAACCAAGTGATAAGTTCAGTATACTCCACAATATTCTGACCATACATTGGCAGGCATTTAACCTTCTGCAGGAGAGCTGCCAACACAGTTTCCTTGAATGAATGTTTCCCATGATGCCACACTCCATAAAGAACACACTTAGACTCAGCACGGACAGAACTCGAGTTCCATTCCAGCAAAAAACAATCAATAAATTGCCTCAAGACATCACCCCCTTATCAGTAAAGATTTCAACCACCATTTCCATATCCACAAAAGACTTCTCTAAACCAGTTTCAGCTCCATCATCACCCTTCTTCTTTTTTGAATCCAAAGACTGCGTACCTGTTCTGTTCGAAATGGTACCTGAATCCCCAGATTCCGCTTTTTGCAAAGAGTGATTCATATCCTTCCCTAAATAGAATGCCAAATTTAATAATTTAAGAGTCTGAATGACAGACTCCTCACCAAAATAGAAAATCCCATTCATTAGGAAGGGCAAAACATCACTATGTCTCAAGCAATACTTCTGCCAGTTCCGAGGCCGAGCAGCAGCCACTTCAGCAATGGTAGAGAAGCACTTAACTATCTTAACACTTCTTTCATACGGAACAGGATTTTGAAATCCACCAGATTTGTTCACATGTTTGTATAGTTTCTTCACTTCAGTAGAGAATTGCCAAGAATCCCGAACACTATAATAGTGAGTTTTGCTTCCACACAGATGTAGAAAAAGTCTCCTTGCATATCTTCTCACGAATGTTGTATGGGGATTATTTATATAACTGCAGAGGACTTCCTGATATCCATCAAGCTTCAAATCCTTGCCAGAGGATGCCTTATAAACCTTATCTTTCTCCCCATTTTTGTCATGTTTTTCTGGCCTTACCAAGGTGTACACCAGTCGAAATGCATTCTCCAACAACAGCCTGTGGTAGTCCATAAAAGTATCTGCCCGATGAGCTTTGGCATATGAATCCGAAAAGAACGGAGAAAAATTACCAGCAGGTAGATCTCTTCGGATTGTTAATAGAGCCCCACATCCAGAAGCAACATTTGAACCATGGGCATTTTCAAGACCAGCTGCTGGTGACTTAAAAACATGCACTAGCTGTTGCAGAATATCCATTAGATAATTAACAAAAGCTTGGTTCCTAAGAGAGTTGCAAGCTCGAAGAAGTTGGGATGCAAAGTCATTTTTTTCATGATTCACCAAGGAAGACCGAGAGGCAGCGGAACTGGAGACTTGAGGAACACTTTTTCAGGACTGTCTGTATTTCCAGTTCCTTTTGAAGCAGTACCATCACTACCAGGCTGATGCCAGTTTCGGAGCATCAATGTGAAAAACATGAAGACTAGGATTGCCACTTCTCCAAAAGAAGAACGTTTTCTTGCAACAAAAGGTTTTTGAGGTTAATTTCATCCAGAAACCATTTAATTAGTTTCTCCAAATCTAAGGTTTCAGACTTTGAACTGTCAATAAAAGGCCCACCAACAGCAGATGATAATCTGTAGAAAAGTTGCATAACAGGAATAGCTCGAATACCAGAGGTGGTCTCCATCCACCCTTTCAACTGCTCAAGAAGCTCAGACAGAAGCAAGGAATTCACAGCTCGTTTTGAAGCAGAAATTGAGACAGGATCAGTCATTGAAGAAGAGAACTCCATGGATTCACTTGGTTCCAAGACATGAATGGAAGGTGCTGAAGTCTGCATTCCAACATCTGTTACATTTGCCACCAAGTTTGCATCACTCAAATCATCTGTAGAGAAGCGGATTTCACTGCCATCTCCTCCAAGAGATTCCACTTCAATTGGAATTGCAGTCATAGGGTGATCTCTAGAATGGGGCGGAGGAAGCCGATCAGCATCTAGAACTTCATAGCATGCCTCACATAAGTCAAAATCAGGACAAACAGTGCAATGCCATCTCCGCCTCAGAATGGGAACGGTAGAACATCCATCACAAGAATATTGAACAGATGAGGTTATAGAATCTTCTTCGATCATGACTTGTGAATTTCCACCAGATGTATCAGCAGGAACAGAGATCGTTACTGCACTTTCTACCACATCATCAGTTCCTAACATGGTTTGTTTTGGAAATGGAACCTGGAGCAGTCTTGATGATATGGCCAAACTGAAAAGAAAGCAAAAGTGAGCACCCTAAAAGCTTTAAATGGACTGATAAGAAGCGGCAATTTGTAATAAGACATTCCAAACATTGGAAATAACTTGTCAATAAATATTTGATTCATCTGAGCAAATACCTGCTTGATGTTTGAACTGCCTCATTTGGGAAGAAGAGAAGCTTTTTAAATAATATAACTGCAGGTGCCACAGGGCGCCTCCCTGTGTCCTTTCCTTGCAGAGCCAAACATTCAGCATAACTGTAAATGAGCTCTACAGCAGACATCACGATATTGTTCATAGTTTGTGTGTCAGGAAGTTCCAAGTCTAAAATTCCCCACAGAACTTGCATAAGCCCATCCACCACTTCAGAACCTGCGTCAACAAAAATGGGTTTAGAAATATTAAAACAGTTCCCCCTACCCTAATCAGTAATCACACAAATAAAAAAACTTCTACATGCAAAACACAAATCCATTTCCTTTATATGGAAATACTTAGCATATTTACAAAGTGTTAACAAATTAACCCTATATTAACAGTTTGTGAACCAAAATACACAAATAATATACAAGAACACCAAGAGATAAAAAAATCACCAGTCAACAAGCATTCAAGCTTCAGAAAATTGTTTTTTATTTCAGTTACATGCAGTGAGGTATTGAATATGCATAAGGCCTCTAGCCAAATGACATAGCTTGAGGAAGTATCAGTATTAATTAAAAAATACACAATCATATGCCACATTTACAATAGAGAGAAACTATGCATAAAGATTATACCATTTATCTCCAAGAAAGAAGCTAGATTGGAGCGACGGTGAAGTGCAATTTTAGACACAGCCCGCATCTGGGCAGTAAACTCTTCAATAAGCCACCGTCCAGTTGCACCACCAATTCCAAGCATTGAAGAAAGAACAGACGTTGACTTGACCACCCCAAGAAGACGCATGGCGTCCTTTATCTAGAGCAAAGAATCTTGTTAGACACTAATGATGCACTCAAATTAAGTCATGCAGTCCAGTATTAGGTCATAAACATTCCATTTGGTGAGTACCTGGTAGTATATATCTTTCTTAGGAAACACGGCCTGCAGGACACGGCAAGCAGCAGCCAGCATCAAGGGTTCCCTATCACTCTCAAATATTGCTTCCAACAACTGCTTGCTCTTTAGCTTGCTCAGATCAACTTTTAGCTCCTCTTCTTGTCGTCTGCAGAGAGAGTAAATCCTGGAGAGAAGCTTAAGACCACCAGCCACCACCTGTTCCTGAATTGGAGCAGACTGCATTGACCGGCTCTTTTTGCTAGATCCTGCAAGCACAGAATTAGCACCAAGAACACGAGCTTCTATATCTAACACAGCATCCATTTTCTCCTTCCAGCCAAATTCATCTTTAGGTCGACCATAAACTTCAAGTGAGTCTATTCTAGGTAGGGATGTGCCACTGAAGGTTGGACCAACAGAGATGATGAACTCTTCATCGGAAAGGAGTGATTCAGCTACAGTAAATGGAATGTCATACCAGGACCTCATGCCCTCATCAAGCTTAATCACCCTTTGGAAAATGGTGATCTCAGAAGGTATATGGTTTGCTGATTGATTACCCACATAAACACGAAAGCCGACCATGACAATATCAGGGTTTGAATTGGAAACAGATATCTGGGGGAAAAAAAGAAAAAATATCAGTTATAATAGTCAGAGATGAATATATAAGAATTTAACAAATAGAACTCAACCATATGTAACAGCCTAAACAAGCACCAACTCTTCCTGCATGATTGATAGGATGCTTTAGGAAATAATGTTGGATGACCACTAAGCTTAACATTGCCAAAATACCAGTTTAAGTGAAATGTGAACAGTAGAAATATTGTTGTAGAAGAGACAACTCACTAAATGGCAATTTTACATCACAATGATAATATGGCAAATCCAACTAGCAGCTAGTAAAGGACAAAATCGAGTATATCTTGTCCGGGCCCATACATATTTGACTAAGCCTGACCGGGCCCAAATTATGGGCCTCGAATTTTGTCCAAGCCCTTCCATATTTGTAAATTGCTAAACCAAGCCAGTTTAGGTGCACCGTATTTTTTATTTAATAATTAAAAATTTTGTATGTTTTCTTTTGTAAACACAAAAAACTTGACAAATTTTAGTATTAAATTATAATATTATATGTTCAACTTCCAAGCCGAGTAAATTACATAACGTAAATAAAAGAAGCTAAGAAAGATTACGTGTTACAAAATAAAAAAAGGGCCAGGCTGGGTTGGGATCAAGCTTTGGATATTGGAGCCAAGCCTGGCCCATATTTTAATTAAAAGACTAATTTCCCAAGCTTATTTTTTGGGTTAAATATTTTCTCTCAAATCCTCCCAAATATTGGGTGGGCCATTGGGACTGGGCAGGTAGTCCAACTCCTGGACAGGAGTAAATAAGCAAATATTATGTCACTTGCCAAAGCCAAACATAGAAGAACTAATGGCCTTAAAAGCTATAGATAACAAGAAAGAAAAAAAAAGCAATACCTTAAATCCTGCAGGACTTGGACTTTCTAGAAAACCATCCTCTGATGCCAAGCTCTGTTTAGCTCCTTCAAAATCACCATTCCTGATTGCATCACCACCCAGTTTCAAATCTGCTGTAATGCAAACTGTTTTCTCGAAGAAGTCAAGGGGGAATTCTGGCTTTGTGCCAGCATAAGCTTTATTATTAAGGATATTAGAACCCAATTTTTTCACTTTCTCAGCTGTGGCACTAGCAGCAGCATCCACTCCCATAGGAACATGAGAGTATATCTGAAGGCTCCCATCATCATGTAAAACAAGGCAGTGGACTTTGTCTTTGGATAAGGGCTTATATGCAGTTATCCCCACTAAAGGCGAGGAAGAACTCACAGCATGCCTCAAATTCTGTGCAAATAACTCATTTGTGCTGAAGGACACCGCAATTGCAGAATTTGATTTCACACTTGAGAAGCCACAAATAATCCACTACCAATAAGTAACTCTTTCCATCGATGCAATCCAGCTGGTCGCAGCATACCATCTTGTTCCTTCTCATAGACACCAGATATCTCTATCAATGATGTGGCATCGGGACTCAACCGACCTATCAAAGTAGTGCCATCTTGATAGGACAAGAAAAGTAACTTATAAGTACAAGAGAAGTACAAAGATGAGCCTTTTGCATGAATTTCTCTGTCCTGAATATGAATTATTTCCTTCAAAGGTGTAACCCCCACATGACCCTCCAAAGATAATCCCAGCTTAAATAAGCTCCCTCGTTCCGAAAGGACAACAAGAAACATCCTTCCCTGAGAGGCCACAAAAAGTGTTGCATCTACAATTGTGTCATCTGGCAGTGTAAAGTAATGCATTGGACTGATGTTGTCTTGGGAGAGATCATATATTTTCACAAACCTGTTAGTAACCACCATCAACTGAACCTGAGAACCAGGTACCCACTCTATTCGTCTGATATAAGCACCTTGCAGGGCAAGTTCAATGGCTAGACGATCAGTCACTTCTCCACGAGGATTCAAAGTAAGAACCTGGCAATCTTCATAGCCAGCCACAGCAAGATAATTCTCTACGACATGATTAAATGCAAGGAGAACAATTTCAAATCGGACGAGGTTCTTGGATAAAGCCTTGAGATTGGCCTTGTCAGCTGTTACAGGTGCAATAGTTGCTTGTCCTATCAACTGCCCAACATCAAAAATAGTAACTTTGTCACCTTCTCCAACAGCAAGTCTTCCTCGAATACTGACACTAAGCAATGATTTGACGAGAGAACCACTAGCTAAATGCATTTTAAGTTCTTTTCCATTTGAATAATCAGTCTTTATCTTCAGGTCCAAGGACCCACTTTTATATGCCTTCTTCAACTGCAAGAGATCCATACCATATGCAAGCACTTTGTCTTTACCCAGAAAAATTTTCTTATCCTTTGAAATGTTGGATTCCCTCCTGCTTGTTATTGAAGGCAACAATGCAGAGAATAGTTCAAGCACCTGACTCTCAACATCAAGTTCTTCAATCAACATGGAGATCCCATCTTGCAAATCTTTTGGAATTGACAACCTCAGCGAGTTCTCAATATCAGCCCCGACATCCTCATCCACATCTGAATCACTTTCTGGCAGCTGATCTGCATCCTCTGTGAGAGGTAAAAAGGACTGAAAATTGTTGGCACCACAATTAAGGGCACTATCAGTACCAGTGAATTTTCGAGGCTTCAAGCATTGGCAACTACTGCCCCTAACACCTCCTGCTCCACAGTCGCAGAAAAATCGACTAGAGCGAGAATAAACAACACGATGACCACGATGACAAACTTTAGCACAAACAGAGCAGCAGCCTTTTGATACTGTTAGATCACAGGTATAACAAAAATACCAATGTTGCTCCATGAAATTGCTGCCACTTGAAGTGAAAGTACAAACTTTAGAAGCAAGGGCCCTTTCACTGTTAGTATCCTCTTCCTCCTCCTTATCAATGCTAGCTTCCTCACCATCAGATGTTCCATCATCCTCATCTTCATCCACAGAAGTAGCATCACATTCGAGAGCAGCAGATGCCCCATCTCGATTTGCAGAAAGAACCAGAACATCAGAATTCTTCCTGGACCCCAACGGTTTAGAAGCTACAGGGCCCACTGCAACACTACTGACAGATGGAGACTTCCCAGAACACTTTTCTGTTGTATTGCCTGGGGACCCACAATCACTCAAGAAACATCCAAGAAAGCCAAAGATAAACTTCAATCCTGGTAGTAAACGCTCGTCGTCTGCCAGTTTCTGCATCAACATTATTGTCCTCTTCAAAAGCCACTTCATTGAATTCTCCCCTCTTGCAAGTTGGACAACAAAATGGAAATATGACTTTGCAGTATGAATATCAAATTGCAAAAAAGAAGTCTCAAGTGAGATCAATACAGCTTCAAACAAATGATTGTATAGCTTTGATTGTAATTCAGATTGTGACGATACAAGGCACAAAATAAAACTCATAGTTGATTCTCTAAGAGAAACAGAATTTGCTTTGACAGACTTTACCCCATCCATGGCTTCAGCTGTGTAACCTAGTAGCCGCTTCTCCAACCACTTGGACAATAATACTAAATCCATGCTAAGGAATTTAGTCTGTATCTTCAGTTTAAGATTGGGGCATATCTCTCCAGATAAAAGATCGACAAGGAAGCTAAGCACCTTAATGTTAACCGATTCAGTGTGACAGTTGGCCACTGAGTCAATAAGAACCATTATATCACCACGCTTTGACCCATGCAGCTCTTTACACGGTTCAGACATATCTTCAGCTCCAAGATAAAATTTGAAAACTGTAGATTTCTTAGGATCTTTTCTGAGGGCATCCATAGTATCAATTGTCTTGGTAATTACCCATTCAAGGATACTGGTGTCACCCAGTTCTCCAGAATGGATACATCTTAGAAATCCCTCCATGTGCTTCAGTAGAAACAGTTCAGTATAATCAGACAGTTCTAATCCAGCATTCAAGTTGAGACAAACATCATCACATTTTCCATGAAGCCTTTCAAGGATGCGATCCAATTTCACACTTGTCAATGAATCAAGAATTTGGTGTTGTACATCAATCTCCAAGAAAATATTCCCTTTCAACTTGGCTAGTTTCAGTAATCCATCCAAAGTGAAAATAATCCCCCTTATATTGAGAATGCAAGAAAGTAGAATTCCGCTAGAAGTTTGAAGATGAGAAGGAAAACCATGCAACATACATTCCCAAAATACCTTGGCTAAAATGCCAGAAGCTCTCTTCTCAACTGCTCCATCTACCTTCAATAAGATGTCAAGAACAGACTCCAACTGACAAGAATCCACACCACACTTCTTAAGGAGTTTATCCCAGAGGAACTTGTCAAACGTAGATAGCTTGAGAAGCAGCACAGGCGAGAACATACAGTCATCATGCTGACTATCACCAAGGGTAGCAAGAAAAGCTTTTTCATAAGTCTGCAGATATCCTTTTAAGAAGGATGCGAACATTCTCAACAACTCTGAAATGTGACCATCTGAAATCAAGCAGGAAATGAAGCCTTCTGCAGAATTGCTATACACACTATCACCAGGTCTGTTCTCTATCCAAAATTGACCACCCCAAGGAATGTTCTTTACACAATATCTTTCGATGCCAACATTAAAAAAAGAGAGTATCAAAGACATCCACATTTCTTTTCTCAAGAAATCCCATCCTAGACTCTCAAAATTATCCTGCATATTTGCACCATGCAGGCGCCTTAGCAATCCAACCACAAGATTTTGAAAGTCAGCACCATTGCCAATAACATTACACTGGCCCAAAAGTGAATGGCTGAAGCGAAAGAAATGTTCTATGCTAGATATTTCCATGGTCTGCAGGTTGCTCCCTTGTGAAAGCTGATGATCCAACGGAGACTTCATACAGGGCATATCCCAACAAAGCAAGAAAATATACCGTTCAATAATAAGGTCTTCCATAGTTGCAGCTTTTTTACCATTCCACAACCCCATAAGATATGAGAAGCTTGAACACAGATCATCCCAACTCAAACGTAATGATCCAATGGAAACATCATCAATGCAAAGTGGAGACTGAAGGTATGCAGTATCGATCAGTTGGTGAAACAGGCTACTGCTGCTTGGCTCTTCATCAACCAAAGCCCCTGTCAAATCCTTTGCTGCAATTGATGCCAGGGAGGAAAAATCATCAAAAGAATTTGTTGGCACATGAGAATCAAAACATTGGGTGTCCCTCATCTTTGATCGAAAAGCCAGCAGCAATGATGGTGGACAAGCTCTGGGATGTAAAATCATGTGACGAAGCACCAATATCAACCTTGAAACTACCAATGCCCAGCAAGAGAGCTTCATGCCATAAGAACCAGGAGATGGAACATCAGCTGTTCGAAAGGCAGAAAACATGAAGTTTGCCATGGTTGCCTTGTCTTCATCAGGTGATAAATGGAACGCCATGAGAAGAATTTCAATGTGAAATACAGATGGAAGTGTGACCAGAAGTTCCTTCAGATTAGGACAGTCAGAGCAAATAGATCTTGCCTTCTCAACAATAAAAGAAACAAATCCTCTGTATATTTTGGTTCTCAACTGGCTTCCAGCTAAGCCCACTCTAGAGAAAAGTGCATGAGCCAACAAGGTTAAGGTCTGATCATTATAAACAAAGGTACCATCTTCAACATTTAGAATTCGCACAACTAGGTAATCCTCAAGTGAACCAGACAATGCATGTTGGGTAAGAAGATTGTGCAGAAGTTGAAAAGAAAGTTCTTGGATATGCCCACTCTTCCTATCTTCATGAGCAGCTGCAAAGTTATCTTCAAAATGGCACCCCTGACAGCTAAGTATGTAAAGTAAAATATCAATGTGGTCTGCACTAAGCATTTTGCAAGCATCCTCAAAAACAAAAGGAAGCCATTCATGAGAGAAGATGCATCCTTTCAAAAAGCTCAACAGTGCCGTAGCTGCTTGCATTGGCATATTGCAATTGCTGGAGCTAGAACTTACAGCAGATGTTTGATCACATGCATCTCCAGATCCTAACATCCGACTACCCTCTGAGAAAAGATTCCCAAAAAGGGCTTCATCATCATGACAAACAGCATTTTCCAATTCTGAGGAGCAATTAGATCTTCCAGAACTGGTTGAATTCTCCATTTTCGGCTTTAATTTCATTCCTTCAGAATGAAGAAAAGAGAAAAGATGCATCAGATTGTCCATCCACTTACTTGATGACGGAAATATCATTCTCGATAGTTCGTCGACAGCGAACCTCTTAAGCAAGGGAATCTTCTGAACACGTAAACAGCACGAAGGAGAATCATTTGATAAATCAACACAACCACCAAGTTCTGTGCTAAGCTCCTTCAAATCAACTACCTCATTTAATTGGATTCTGAGATCCTGAATGAGCTTCAGGGTATAAATAACAGTTCGAGGGAAGTAGGCTAAAGGGGCCTTTATGTTCAAAGCAGCCTTATTGTATCTCCATATGGAAGGACCAAGATGTTCCAAAATAGATGCTGCTATACAGGCTTGCACATTCTGAAAAATGACACTGTTGCAGAAAATAACTCGAACCAGATGAATAAACTCTTCCACTAGTGACAGTGCAAGACTCTCGAAATTACCCTCAGTAGCAGCAGTATTATTGACAAATTCAAAGCTGTGTCTAAACAAATTAGGCAACAGATCAGCAAATGATGCAACTGCTTCTAACATTGAGGAATTGTATTCTACATATGCCACGTCCTTTACAAGGCATCCAAGTGACTTCAAAATCCTCAAACTGAAGGAAAGTCTCTTGCGCAAATTTGTACCTGCTATCCTTTCATCAAATATATAAGGAAAATCAACAAGCTCTTTGCACAGTAAAATCAAACTCCGAATACATTCTGCATGAGCAACTGCCCAATGTTGGGACAGGAATATTAGGCTATTCAAATCATGATGGAAAGTAGGAGCCTCAAACCCTGAAGCATTTCTTTCAGGTTGCACACACTCAGAAGCTAAGGCTAATAGAAGTCGATCCACTTGCTTCTCTGCCCTTGGGCACTTAATACCTTCTCAAAATTGTTTGAAGAGCAAATAGAATCAGTAAAAAGTCAGGCCAGTAAAATAAGAACAGAGTTTGAAAGAATTGAAGATACCTTGAAGACAACATTTTATGCTCTCATCCAGCTCAATTCCATCCAAATTGCTAGAAACTATTGGCAACAAGTCTACAAGGCTATTTACAGAGGCAGGTTGCGAGAAATCAACTATTTTGTCGGTTCCACCGCCCAATATAATCTCCAAAATTTGTATCATATTACTCTGGAAATCCAAAGAAAAAAAAAGCAAATTTACATCTGTGATTAGATTGGAGGGAAAAATAAATACTGCATCAAATATTTAGATATAGTTGGCTATAGAAAAAGCAGAAAGCATAAGATCAAAAACAGAAAAGGAAAAAAAAGAACAAAACAGCGATCATAAGAAAATGAGACAATAATGTTAGATTCAAATTTGCAGAAACTACTACAATGAGAAGCAAACAGTGCTAAGAAGAATGAACCTCCACTTTATACAACAAACAAATAAATTAGCCTTTTCTTTCTAGAGTTGAAAGTTCCAATGCCTCCTTAGATCTCTCAAGCTAAAAGCCATAGTCTAGTTAATAAAGATAATCAATCTAGACATAAACAACCCAGCAAACACCATAGTTACCCTAGACCACCCACAATCATATTCAACAGCTGCTACTAGAAGATAAGCTCTCAGATGAAATAGTTGGTGCTTGTTACTTTTCTGAATAGGAATTGAGGTCAGGGTATCATCAAAGACCAGAATGAGTATTATGAATTTTTGGTCCTGTCAGTTGGCCTTAACAATGTCCATCTACATTACAGAGTCCCATAAATCGCAATTTTCCACCATATCTAGGGATTTTTTTTATTTGAAGTTGCAGTATATTATTTTAGTTAGTTATCCTACCTGTAGCACTCGCAGATTGTGTTTTAAGTGTTTTTTTCAGACTCAGTTAATTGTTAATTTAACCAATTTTTATTTTGGGCCTTTTAGTTTGAGATGGAGTAGTTGGGTCATGCCATTAGCGGCAATAGAGTGGCCATGTAACCAAGAATGCGAAGGAAAAAAGGGATTTCCTAGGCCTCATTGATGACTAGAGATTATTTTTTAAGGGAATGGAGTTATAACATTCACTGAAATATTCAAAAGGAGTGGAGCTAACTGGACTAAGCAATCACAAGCATTTGATAAGCTCAAGTCAGCTATGACCACAAACCCTACACTGCCAAACTGTAATTCCACTTTTCTAGTAGAATCTCCTCTTTCTCTCTAAAAATCGGGTGTTTTCAAATATTTTCTTTCTTTTCCCCTTTTATATATCTCTTCGATGTCGAGTAAGGTGAGAAGATCTGTTGGGAAAAATTGCTTTGCAGTGATCATTTTCAATATCCCAAAGTATCTTCATCATCATAGTCTTAGGTTATTTTTCGATAAATATGGCGATGTGGTTGATTCTTTCATCCATATTAAAAGAAGCATGGGAGGAAGGAGGTTTGGCTTTGTTCGCTTCGCCAGAGTGGAGGACGCGAGGAAGGCTATCAACTGCGCTGATAGATCTTGGTTTCAAGATTTTAAAATTAGAGTTTTCATGGATAGATTTCAACCTCGTGAAGAATTCTGGAGAAAGAAGTTTTCTGGTCCAAAACTAGCCGAGGTCAAGAGCAAAGTGGAGGTTGATACTCATTCAGAGGCTCCCATAATCGGTGTTGTTGACGAGGATAAGCTCTTAGCTCTCAAAAATAGCTTGGTAGGTTGGTGCAGAAAATTTTTAAAAATGAAAGAGTTGACTACTCTTTTGCATAAGGAAGGCGTGTTTGGTCCCAAAATTATAAGGTTAAGTGCTTTAACAATTTTAATCATTTTTGAAGATGAAGAGAGTAGGGATTTTGCTCTTAATAATCAGATTGGGGCGTTGAGAAACTGCTTCGACAAAGTGGATGTGTGGTCGGAAAAGTTTCAGTGCATCAGCCGTCGGGCATGGCTTTCGTGCAAAGGAATCCTTCGTTTGTATGGAGCCATTCCACCTTCAGAAACATTGTTGGCAAATGGGGAGAACTTATCTCCATTGAGGAAGGAATCTTCAACCCCGGCTCGTTGATAGAGCATTGTTGCAAATAACCACGAACTGTCAAGCTCGAGTGGAAGATTTCTTAGATTTGAAATCGAGGATCAGATCTATACAGTTTATGTTTCTGAGTTTGAACCTTGTTTCAAACCAGAATTTGTCTAGGTAGATTCGTCCATGATGGAAAAGGTAGTTGCCTACCCGTTATCCACGGTGGGGGAACTCGATGGTGATTCGCTAGTGAAGATTTCCGAGGTGAAGGAATGCGCTGAGGAAGCAGGAAGAAGCATGGACTCTTCGGAGGTCAATAATTCCAAGCGGTGTTTTTTTTTAGGAATATTAGGCCTCATTAAAAACCCCCTTCATGATTAATGGAACTCTGAAAAAGTTCCTTAATCAGCGGAAGGAGAAAAAGAGTGCCTTGGATTTTATTAATAATAAACTTAATACAATATATTACAAAAACCTAAAACTCCTTGAAGGAAATCAACAACCTAAATAGTTACAACCTTAAAAACAACATAAATATTAACCAATTCCAGCCTTAGCTAGAGCGTCCACCTCTAGATTAGCTGCCCTATTAACCCATCTAATAACACCTTCACACAGTCTAAGTTTTTCAATAATATCTTTAACAATGTAAGCATAAACAGCAGGACATGAAACGAAATCCCTAACCCAGTCAACTGCCACCCTGCAGTCACTCTCAATTATCAACCGATCCTTTAATCTGTGTCGTATAGTGTGAAAGAAAGATAAGCCCTTTAGGATAGATTTCAATTCCATCAAAGTAGGAGGACCAGGACCTGAGGATTCCTTGTAAGAGTCGATGATTGTCCCGTTATCATCTCTCAAAACACCACCTATCCCACTTCTCTTCCAGTCAGTAATAGTAGCAGCATCGACATTTAATTTGATGAAGCCCTTTGGGGGAGGGGACCAATTAGTCACAGTTGCAACACCTTGTCGGGTGAGGTTGAGGAGGAAAGGAATATAAGGGAAGAATTATTCTCGGGACTGTCGATTATTGTTGTTGGTCAGGGGATGGCTCAATCGAAAATTGAGTAGTGGAACACGAGAATGTGTTGGTTCACGCAGAGAAAGAGGCAGAAAATGACAAGAGGAAAAGTAGTGTCACTGCACGTGGTTTTGAGGGAATGAAGGATTATTTTATTGAATTCCCCATGTTGGATGGTAGGGTAGAGACAAAGGTAGTGGAGGATGAGAATATTGTGGGCCTGACAAATAATTCTGCATTCATTAATTCCAAGGGCGTGGACAGGCAGAACCGGACAGCAAAGGATGGGAATAATAATAATTTAAGCTCTCTCCATTTAGCTCTTGGAAAACATCCGGCTCAACACTGGAAGTCTAGAGAATGTCGTAGGAAAATCTCAATAAGGTGCAGCGTATGGAAGGATTGTCTGAACTTGAAGGTAGAATCCTTTATGATTCTGATTTTCATGCAAGGCGGCAGAGACATAACAAGGATGCGAAAGAATCCCTTCAGATCGGGGAAGATTCGGATTTTTAATCTAAAAGCTCACGAGTGTTCTTGATTTCGAAACATTTTAGCGATGGACGTATTAAAAGATACAATATGTGGTGATTTGTTTTCGGGGAATCGAAGTTGATTTTGGATTTTGGAGCTGGAGTTTCGGTTAGTCACCGATGTCATGTCCAGTAGGCGGACAGCTTTTTTTTCGAAGTTTCTGGTTTCTTCACTTATCGTGTGGAAGCTCATGGCTTTAATGTTCAAATTTGGCTTTTATGGTTTGTGTCAGCTGTTATGTGGCTTTTCTATAGTTGTTCTGTGTTGTGCTGTGTTTCAGCCCAAGTTCTGGTTATCCTCTTGGAGTTGTTGTAGCTGAGGTGATTAGGCAGTTAGTGTTGTTGTGAAGGGTTGTTTTCTGGTTCTTTGTTTTTGGTGGGGTACTATAAGTTTGTATCTTATGTAATTTCTTTTGTTTAATGAAATCTTAAGGCATTCTTTTCCTCCTTCCTTTGATTAAGGAGCTCGTTTACAAGCTTCTTTAATCAAGAAGGGGGTTTTTAACGAGGCCTTCAATTCCTATAAAAAAAAGTAGAATATAATGCCTTAATGTAGGCTTAGGAGCTTCAGAGTCAAAACGGTTGTCAATCTCTTATTTTATCAGGATCTTGTCAACGCAAAACCAGGCTTTCTCCGTATACAAATGGAAATGTTTGCAATCCTAGCTGTTGTAGAAAAAATTGATCACCAGAGTGAAATTTCTGTTGGACCAGAAAACTGCTGCAACTCCGCGAGTTATTGTGAAGGAACATAGTACTTTGTTGGATAAACTAAATTAGAAAGAGAAGCCCTCGGCAAATTATTGTATTACTCTGTGAGTCAAACAATAGTTCTCCTAAAGATGGTAAGTGAGATGCCTACCTAACTTGCTCAAAAGATTTCCAAAATTCCATCCTTGAGGCCTTGAGGGCAAGGATGTTATTAAAGGGAAGGTGTTAATGCAGGATCTTTCTGCAGATGGTACTGAGTTGGATTGTTTTATAAGCGTTATAATAAAACAAGTTCTATTAGTCCATGAGGTGGAGTTAGTAGTTAACATCTGTTGTATAGTTGTAGCAGGTAGATTTCCATTAAAATCCGAATATTGCCAATGTATTGGGCAAAAACAGGAACGAAAATACTCTTCCTCGGTTTTTTTATTCTAATTCTCGCTCTTCGTTATTCTACAACATTCCCTTTATCTAGGTCATTCATAACAGCAACCATCACACAGGACTGGGCAATCAAATTATACAAATTTAAACTAATAATTAATAACAAAGTTTCTTTTTCGTACCTGTAAGCTCAAATCATCTCCACTAAAGTCTGATTTCTCTAAAAAAGAAACAGTAAATTCCACTAGTTTCCTTGCCACAGCAACAATTATCGGCTCCAATTGTTCCACTGCTCCAAAAAAAATCTTTTGATTGATATCCTACATCATTGAAAATAAAACGAAAGCCGAAATTCCTTCCCTTAAAAACAAAAATAAGTTAAAGTCGATCGTATCAAAAACCCAACAACAAAGAAATCTAACTCTTGAAAAAGAAAACCAAGAAAAACAAACAAAAATAAAACCACGACAAAATAATGGCAAAAAAGGCCTATGAATTTCAGAGATCTTACAGTAAAAAGTAACAAAACCAGTTAACGAGCGAAAAAATCTTTAAAAAAAACTACATATGTATTCAAAACATATACAAATATACACCAAGTATTGAAAAAGTAGAAGAAACGAACCTGAGAGAGATTGAAAGACGGTAATACAAGAACCTAGAGAAGCGAGGGAGAGGATCTGATTATCGGACCATAACTTAAAACGGGGATGGGAACCGGGTTCGATCGTGTCGAGTCCAGCTTGAAGAATCAAGTATAACTGTTGGAGCCCTAGCTTGATCGACTCATCGGAACGAATCTTCCGAAGAAGATCAAGCGATGAAGACGATGACGAGAGCTTCTCCTCGGCGAGGAATTGGCAGAGTCGCGTTAAGTGATCCGCCATTTCTTTTAGAGAAAGGAAATGAAATGAGAAACTACTAGATAAAGATATATGTAGTATGGTTTACTATGCGAGACGGTTTTTTTTTTTTTTTTTGATAAATCGAGATGGGTTTATTTTTTTTGATAAATCGAGACGGGTTTATTGAGAGAAGCAAGGACATGGGAAAAATAGAAGGGCCTTATTGAATTAAATAGAAACTATGAGGCGGTGGAGAGATATTTCACACTTTTTTTTCCCGGTTTTGTTATAAAATGAAAGTCCACTTTTGTTTTCTCAATTTTCTTTTTTTCTCCCCCAATTTGTTTCTCTTTGAGGCAACACGTCTTGAGGTTATAAAAACTTGCATGAATTTAACTTTCAACTAATGGAAAAAAGTTAATAAAAGAATAAAAGCCAATTATTTATTCCTATGAAGTGGTTTTGTTTTTCCTTTTATCTTTAATAAAAATACCTTCATGTTAATTTTTTTTAATTTATTAGCAATTAGGGTTGTGAATTTTTAGATATTAAATATTATCTATCTAAAATTTCGGTTCATATACCTAAAAATTCAAATTATTAAAATTGAGAAATGTATATGTATTTGAATGTAAAATTTAAATTTTATATTTTATGCCATGTCTTTTATACCAATTATAAAATTTAATCTAAAGTGACATAAATTTTAACATTTGTTACATCGCTAATTATGATTTAAAGCTATGATAAGAGTGGGATGTGTTGGGAAATAAACGAGAACAAATAATTTCCCTATAACTAGATTAGTGAGAATGCGAAATAAAAGCGGAAAAATAATACCCGAAATTGATAACGGAGTTCAGCCAATTTGCTTACGTCTCCGTATTGCTGCAGATCTTTTACTAAGAGAGAAAATTTACAGGTTTTACAAAACACTCACTACTCACAAGAAAACTCTCTAGTATTGGGATAAAAAAATGATTTTGGGATGATATTGAAGCTAAATGGGTTAGGGTATTTATAGTTGAAACTGAAGGACTAATCTTGTAAATACCTTAAAGTGCAATGACTATTTGTAATTATCTCATTATCATTTTTTAACAAACATCTACCAAACTTTGAAAAACTATTTTTCAAATAAATATTTATCAAACTTTGTAAACCATTTTTTTCAAAGTTGGTTGCCAAACTTTGAACTAATACTTTCAACAATCTCTCACTTGAAGACTGATTTTAATCTGTCTTCACACCTCGATCGATGCAACAGCATTTCTAGTCTTGTTATTCTAGCATGTCAACTGAAGCTGAACACAACTTCAGTTTGTTCGTGGTCACCGTCTTTGTCAACAAGTCTGCCGGATTTTGAGCTCCACTAATCTTTTCAAGTTTCAAAATCCCTTCTTCCAGAAGAGACTGGATAAAATGATATCGCAATTGTATGTGCTTCATCCTGGAATAAAAAGATGGATTCGTTGCTAGATGGATAGCGCTTTGACTGACGCAATACAAGACATTGTTTTCTTGTTTCTTGCCTAACTCTCCCAAGAAACTTTGGAGCCAAACCATCTCCTTGCTGGCTTCCGTAACAACGACATATTCTGCTTCAGTTGTGGAGAGAGAAACTATCTTTTGTAGTTGAGAAATCCAACTCATTGCAATACCTCCTAGAGTATAGACATACCATGTAGTGCTCCTTCTGATATCAACATTTTCGGCTAAGTCAGCATCTACATAGCCTGTCAATATCGTATCTCCACCTTTGAAACAAAGTGCTTTGTTTGTAGTACCCCGTAGGTACTGAGGATCCATTTGACAGCTTCCCAGTGTACTTTGCCTGGATTATTCATGTACCTACTAACAGCTCCCACTGCATGAGCAATATCTGATCTAGTACAAACTATGGCATACATCAGACTTCTAATTGTTGAGGCATACGACACATTCACCATGTGTGCACGTTCTCCCTCCGTCTTTGGTGACTGTTCTTTGGAGAGACTAAAATGAACACCTAAAGGTTTACTTACTGGTTTAGCATCTTGCATACCTAGAGAGTACTTTCTTTATGTACTCAGCCTGTGATAACATCAAAGTCCTCGACTGTGTGTCTCTCTTGATCCTCATCCCAAGAATCTACTTTGCAGCGCCCAGATCTTTCATTGCAAACTGATTCGACAATTTTTGCTTCAAGTCTATAATCTCTTGCATGTTTGAACATGCAACAAGCATGTCATCAACATACAACAATAAAATAATGAAGTTGTTTTCGAACTTCTTGATATAGCAACAATGATCTGCTTGGCATCTGGTGAAATCGTTGCTACTCATGAAACTATCAAACTTCTGACCACTGTCTAGGAGCTTGTTTTAAACCATACAAGCTCTTTTTCAACCTGCATACCAGGTTTTTCTTGTATGTCTCTATGAAGCCTTCTGGCTACCTCATATAGATTTATTCCTCCAAATCACCATGAAAGAAAGCTGTCTTTACATCTAACTGCTCAAGATGTAGATTCTCTGCAACTACAATTTTCAACACCAGTCTGATTGTAGACAGTTTCACGACTGGAGAGAAAATTTCATTGTAGTCAATACCTTCTTTTTGCTGAAAACCTTTGACAACCAATCTTGCTTTGTAGCGTTTTCTCCCATCGTGCTCTTCTTTGATCCTGTAAATCCACTTGTTATGGAGCACTTTCTTGCCTAGTGGTAATTCAACTAATTCACACATCTGATTTGACATAAGCGAGTCCATTTCATCTTTAATGGAAGACTCCCACTTGACTGAATCCTCCACCTGCATTGCTTCATCATAGCACTCTGGTTCACCATTGTCAGTCAGTAACAAGTAGTGCAAAGAAGGCGAATAACGCTGGGTTGGTTTAGGAATTCTGGAGGAGTGTCTCAGTTCTGATGTGTCTGGTTCTTATTGAACAGCAAATCGGACTGTTGACGTTTAGAATCATGGCATCACTTGTCTCCTCTATTATGTTGGCAGATTCCTGTGCGCCGATATCTTTCTTCAGTGCTCGACAATCTCTTTTAAAGTGACCCTTCTTGCCACAATTATAACAAGTAAAATATTTCTTTACCGTTCTTGATTTTCCCCTTCTGGATTTTGATCTGCCACGATTTGAATTTCTTTCTGAAGTTCTCCCTCTAGACTCCGTGAGCAAGGCTGAGGAGCTTGATGCTTCACTTGATTCTCTCTGTCGAATTTCTTCACTCAATACCAGATCTCGAACATCGTCGAATTTTAATTTGTTGTTTCCCGATGAGGCTGACCGTTGTAACAGTAGCATTCCAACAGTCTGGTAGAGATGATAAGAGAATTAAAGCTCAAACTTCATCATCGAATTCAATTTCCACGGAACTCAACTGGGTTGTGATTGTGTTGAGTTCATTTAGGTGTTGAGCCACTGATGCACCTTTCGTCATCAGCAAATTGAATAATCGCCTCATCAAGTGAACTTTGTTTGAGGCCGATGGCTTCTCATACATACTGGATATAACCTCCATAAGACCCGCCGTGGTCTTTTTCTTTGCTATGTTAAAAGCAACATTTCGGGACAACGTCAGTCGAATAACTCTGAGGGCTTGTCTGTCGAGAAGAACTCAATCTTCATTCTTCATGCCCTCTGGTTGCTTTCCTGATAGAGGTTGATATAGATTTTTCTGGTATATAAAATCTTTAATATGCATATTTCAAAAGCCAAAGTCCGCACCATCGAACTTTTTAATTTTCACATTCCCTTCGTCTGCAGCCATCGCTCTCACTCGAATCTAGTTTTGTTTGGATCGTTTCTGACAATTCTTGCGAACCACCGTGTATTAGAACACCTCCGTCGACAAATTCGTATCGCCGACCAAATTTTACTATTCATATAAATAGTAACCTCAAAAAAAATGACAAAATTCCAAATCTCGTAGAAAACTAAAGGAAAGTACTGCTCACTTTTAATCCCTCTAAATTTCCTGAAATTTATTTCTTTTCGGACACAGTAAATGCAAGAGTTCCATGCGAATCTCGACATCAAAGACATGAGAAGATCTTCATCACTGGTATCTCGTAGACTTGAACCGGTCGAATCTTATTTGTAAAACTCATTTTTAAATTAAATTAGCTTGTAAAACACGTGTTAAAAGTGCCTGAGTCTTGGATTCCCACGAAATCGAATTTATCGGATCCCGTCAGAAAGCTTTACATGGATTACTTGTCATAACACGCTTTACTGCTCTATTGGCGAGTGAGTAAACTACTGGTGAGTAAACTACTGGTGAGTCTCAGAGTATCAGGGGCCGTACGAATGCGTAAATATAGAGTTAAAATTTTAAAAACCACTGTGAGACACGTGGCATTCTTGACAACAGGCAAAAGTGGCTTTCAGAGCTTAGCTATGCTTTTCAAGAGTAATATTAAAATTTTAGAATGTATAAAATGTTTTCTCCTCTATGAATATTGTAAAAGAGTAGGTTTTTTTATTATTATTAGAGAAAAATAGTTCTATAACATTTTCTAGGGATTTTTTTATTTATTAAAATTTAATTCTTATAATACAATACTAAATATAATGTACATGAAATTACCGAAACACTGCAACAAAATGAGAGAATATATGAAGGGAATGAAAGTGGAGAAAGGACATGTCAATGACACAATGCTAAGTTTAGTATTCTGATCAGTTCCACCTTTTATCCTGTTGGTTCATCTTCACTTTTGCACACCATGTCAATCACAATCTCATTGCTCTTTCAGAATGTGGGATCTGAAAAAATAAAGTTGTCATTGATGATCAAAATGATGGCAATTTGGAGAGGTTAGATTCAATGCACTCTACAAAAGCTAGTAAAAGAAGTCACATCATTTCACGACTCAATAAATGAAAAATTGGGCATACAGGCCATGTTACACATGTTTAAATAGGAGAAGGATAATTAGTAAATACAAATATTTTAAAGAAAACAATAAACGAGAAAACAAAAGTACATTAACTTAGTGGTAGAGTTGCCTATCCACCCAACGACATGATCATCATCTTGTGAGAAATCAGTAAAAAAGAATGCTTG